GTTGCGAAAAACAAGGTTGTATCATTGCGTGACAGAGGTTCCGTTGCTTATCACGCTCACGTCGATCACCCAATCAGTCACACGTGTTTCAAATCCGGACGGGATAGAAGTGAATCGGAAACGGGAGTGAAAATCCACCGCGAGTTGAAAAGTTCCTTGAAGGATTATTGGGCTTGTGTGCCACAAGATAATATCATATAGCCGACTGCGAGTCTGGCACGATGGGTAAAATGCCTTTGCATTATCGCTCTTGGAAGGAGGTTTTGTTTTTAAGTGCATTCCGGTTATCAATACACTACTAATAAGTAGTCGGTTTCCATTGCAGAAAACGGCAACTCCAGTGACCACAACATAATTACTGACACCCTCATCGGTGGACAGCTTCTCTGTCGCCTTGCAGCACTATGTCTATACCATAAGGCAAACTATGTAACTCTTCGTTTCAGGTTCTTAGCTAACCATTTGAAATTCCGGGACCGAGTTCTAGGCCTCCACCTCCATGAGATATGTCGCCCCTCATGTGGATAACATTTAGCGGCATTCTAAAAATCTTTAAAGTAAATTGATTTAGTTGTTGCTTCAAAATTGGAAGATTTTGTATACTGGTGAAAGTAAAACATTTTTATTCTCCATTGTTTCGCCATATTTGGAGTCCGCACGTAAATAGTGGCTTGGACGAAAATTCTAACCCAAGATAACGGTGAATATAGATCAAAGATTGCTTAGAATGAACAACAAGGAGACTTAGTCAGGTTACCAAAGGACACATTTAGATGTTAATGGCGAAGTGCAGCTCAGTGTTACAATTATCGTACGCGACAGTCACGAATCATATTCCCCGCGTATCTTGATTCGNATTTTGGTTATCACTTCAGTGAGGGATGTATCTTCACCTTTGAGATCCATTATAAGTAAGTCACTGTGACGTGAAATGCAAGACAATTCTGGAAAGTGCAAAACATTGAGTACATCTGTCTGTTCTTCTCTTCAGCTCTTGACTCCATTCCTTGTTGGATGGATTTCCATAAGCCGAATGTATGGGATGCCCTAAACAGTTACTTTCTTGATAGCCCAATTATTTTACTAGAAACACAAGGCACTCGACAGAGAACGAATCTATCCTAACTGGTAACTATCTGCTCCGAAACGCTTCTTAGGGCTGCTCCATCCTCGTGCTTATTTTTCATGTACAGCTGCGATATTTCTGTTTATCCCCCCATTCACCCAAGCACTAGTTTTGGTTGGTTTTGTGACGTGCGAACCGGTCTTATAGGTGCAGCTTGCGAATTTCCTGTTCGATATCAGTTTAAATCCAAATAACTCCCTTGATTCGGTCTATAGGTTTCCACTTTCATGCTTTCATGCAGTCTTAAATGTCCATAGTCTATCTCTTTCGTGGCTATTCATCTATGCTTGATGAACCTAGACATATTAAACTTTCTTAAATCTCAATGAGCCGTCGAATCTTCCTCCTTCAGCATTTAGTTAATCAATCACGGATCAGCCCCTCGGTCTTGCTGCCCTGGTGTAGCGTGCCCGTGGATGTGACCGAGCGCACGAAACCGTGTTCCGGTTGTGATCAAGTTCTCGCAGATTCATTTCGCACTGTCGTTTCGTTGACTAAATGCGGTTTCCCTAGCTACTCAGTTCGCACATGTGACCGGGCTGAGCTCAGTGCATCGCATACGACAAATCGGTCGGACAAGGCAATTCAAACTGCAATTTGGTCACATTTGATTGAACTCAGCTGGGCCGAACCAATTGAACCAAACGGACGAATCCGATTCTATTGGACTAGATATCGTCTTCTGAACGTCGATGACCAGACGCACAACACGACTGGTATCACTAACCCGACCTATGTGAGTTTTCATCCTCGGTTCATTGAATTCCGTGTGCTCTATTTGTGCAAAATAAACGATCTTTTGTTATCAATAACAAGCGCCCTTCGACTGGCTGTGCTACACTCTCGTTATCGTCGTCACATACACATTTACACACTCGTGAATATTAGAAATCTCATTGAAAAGGGAAGCTCTAAAGCACCTCAAAATGTTTCCATGGTTTCTGCGGTTAAACAGCGGTCTATTACCAAAGAATTAATTTCTTAATGTAGAGCAAACTTACCTCGTGTGAGAGCGTTCTCCTGCAGAGTCAACCAGAACCACTTCCTCCAATGCAGTTGATAACACGATTGACCGTGTCATTATCATCTATACAAACCAAAGAACGTATAAAATTTATTGATGGATAATGCAAACATTTGTATGAGTTCAACCTCAACATATAAATATATATTATTATAATATTACATTTCACACTTGTCTGAGGACAGACTCTGTGCCAAGCGAATCATGGTAAAATAATCTTTATAAAAAAGAAGAACGCCCCAAGATTGGGTTGTGGGCTGAATACTGCCAGGTTGGCCAGGTCAAGACAGGTGAACTTTCTTGAGGAATCCACAACCAGAGCCTTCGGCTAGCCAAAGCCTGATCTGTAAGGCAGCGGGGTGGTGTGAAAACTGCAGTCCATTGGGAGCCGGTGTCCAGTTCATCCGATCATATACCCTTCTGACGGGGTCAAACGTCCAGGGTGCCCAATGCACCTCGATACCCAATTGAGCCGGTGACCACTGCCACAACGGCGTAGATATGGCTGTCGCTCGTACGCCTCCTCATCGTTGGTTTGGAATCAGACTTTTTGGCCAACTCCCCTAGGGGGAACTACCAATGTTTCATCAAGCCGGTTATAGCCCTGGATGTCGGCTTTTAGCCCTCTCACTTTGGTGAGAAAACGCATCCGCCACGGGAAGACAGTGAGTAGGGCTTCCTCAGCAGAGGCTTTCTTATGGGAGCATTTCGCGAGATGCAAGGGAAGGATGACCAGCCGCAACCCTAGACACTCACCCCCGACCATACTGAGGCTTTTGGTTATAGAAGTTAGCCAAAGTTAGACTGTTCGCTGGGTATTTTACTGCTTGTAAGTCTTGTTTCAACAAATTAGACACCACTTCTTCGACTCATCGAATGTTTTTCTCATTTCTTCTGTTGACAGACCTCTGATTGGACACTCACGTGCTCACGATCGGGACGCATTGCTGAATACGATTCACGTCAAGGGAAGCCTCGACCTGAAAGTGATTCACGGGCATCTGTTGTCTTATTCAACCTGATGCCTGGTACTTACGAATTTCAAGTGATGAGTGTGTCGTACGCTGGAAACAGTTCTTGGTCCGAAGCTCGTCAGTTCCTTGTCCGAACTATTAGTTTGCAAATTGCTGTGGATTTTTTCACCGGTGCGTGATTCGTGTTTCTCTTAGGAATGATTTTTTAAATGAAATCAACAAGTTTTATGTGCCAAGAATTCAGATATGCTTATGCACCTATCTGATTGCATGTATGATGCTTGTTTGAAGCTCAGACAACCCATCAGTTTGAAATGACTTTCTCCCGGACCCGATTATTTAGGACACGTTTAACATTTCGCTTTTCAGGCACCCACTAGTGGTAAACACATCCTGTTTCGCTTGTTCATCGCTTTATCGTTGGTTCCTCGCTGTCTACTTTAGTCCGTTCACTCTCAGTTATTTGGTGTAGGTTGTTGACATGACTGAAATCGCGCTCTAGCTTTCGGCATTTGCCATTTCCTCCCATAATAAAAGTAAATGTGAATAAGAATAAAGAGAATCGAAGTGGCCGAGGTGGTATTAATCGAGTTATTTCGACCGCACAACTGATGCTGTGCCGATCCGCATCACCTGACGGGAACTGTTCCGTGTTAGATGAAAGGAGATGGTCTGTGATACAACAGTCGGTATGCTACTGGTTCTCTGGCGTTTTTGTTCGTCTTCCTAAACCGCTTTGCCGAGGTTCACCCCTCAACCCGAAATTTTATCGAGCCGCTTATAGAACGGAGTATCATGGAGAGTGGTTAATAACGCTAATTGACTTTCTTCCACTTCCAACCTGTTAGTATAAACACTAGAAACCCGAAACTCTTATTTATAGCAGTTGTCTGATGCATTTTCGCTAAGCTTTGAATACAAATTGTTAACTGATACGTTGTTTCAGTCTCCGTCGAACAAGTAGAAACTGTATCTTCTCCGTTTGCAGAGTACCATAACCCAGTTTATCCTAAACCCACTCTCTTCTACTGTTTTTTTTCCAGTTCATTTTTACGTTCCACTCCTGTTCTGTCTGCTACTTCTTGGTGCTGTAGTCATCTGTTGGAAATCTATGTCCAAAAATCGTCTGAATCAGTAAGTATCTCTAAACAGTTTCATTTCACATTTTATCGTTGTCTGTTTGCCTGGTGCCGACCGTGCTCAAGCCCGCACTCACATACCTCCTGTCCTCTCTGTGGATTCGAAGTCAAAATCAAATTCGCTCTATCGGATCCCGCCTTTAATTGATCTTCGAGCGCTCATTCGTGCATATTCGGTGCCTTTTTACTGAACACAATGATGCCACCGATTGTGAGCAATGATGTGCTTTATTCACCGGGTACCGTGATTTCTGGGTCCCCATCTAAGGAGCCTAACGGGGCTACCTAGAGTGCTCGATTATCTCTGAAGATCCGAACATCCCGTATGATATTGAATCAAGAAATCATGGTTTGGTTTGATTAATCTGGTATTAGAATATAATGAAACCACACACTGAAGTGTCCTCGTACGTGTATGTATATATGGTAAGGGGTCGAAGAATCTATAAAATAATAAATGGGCTATCTAAGTGAAATCCACTGTTTTTAATTTTATCATCAAAGTTATACATGAAAAATGCCCACTGCCGCATTGAAAGTCCGGTAAACAAAACAAGCTGTTTTTCGATAAATTCATCAACGGGCCAATACAATCATATACGGTTATTTGGGTTCGTTGATCTGGTTTTGATCGCATTAGAATGAGTACAGAATGTGTGCTAAGATTGTTTACCTGACTAGTTCGTTGCTGCGTCCTCTGAGGGTAGACTGGATTTTTTCATCCGAGCCCATGGCAAGGCTAAAACCCGAACGAACTACTTTTGGTGGCACATGGGAGAGGGGGGGCATCCAATGTTTGGATGGCTATCGCCTCGACTGTGCATAGAATGATAAACCGAAGTCGTTTCGTCAGAGGTGATAACTTGTGGTAAATCGTGCGGAAAGCCTGATCGACATTGATAGTGTGCTGTGTCTTCAGTATATGTTGACAGCACTTTTCGCCGTCCTAGTTTCACTTGGTCTCAACCAACGGGGGTGATGTTCTCGTATCCTCTTCGATAGCCGCCTCGTAGTTCGGCCGATGTAGCTCGCTTCATCGTATATAATTGTAATGGCCCTTTGATGAATTCATCGAAAAACAGCTTGTTGCACCTACCGGACTGTTTTAAAAGTTATATATATATACTTCCTGGGTACAAGTATATGAATGAACTGACAAAAATTTCCCTGGAAGCACACGACCGGTTTCGCGGTTCTTGCCGCTCGTCAGGCATGCGTATCCGGTAATCTTTTGTCAGTTCATTCATATACTTGTACCCAGGAAGTGTATTTTCGTCACAATAACCTTGTTTGCAACGCCGGGTGACCATTGGATAGACAGCTCTTTCAGAGCCAGTCCAATGAAGAATCAATGCTATGATTCGATGTTTTGTAAGTGGG